GAAACGATCATCAATAGAGAATTGATAGGAGTTTGTGAATGGCTAAACACAAATAAGTTAACCCTCAACTTAAAGAAATCCAACTATGTTATCTTTCATTCCCACCAAAAAAAGCTCGACTATCAAGTTGAACAATCATTCCAATAACTTGATTAATATTGAATGCAAAGAATTTATAAAATATTTAGGTGTTATAGTGGATGGTAATCTCACATGGAAATACCACATTGACAACATTGCATCCAAAATAAGCAAAACAATTGGCATAATTACAAGGCTTAGATATTTTGTACCTCTGTCTACCTTACAAAACATTTATCGATGTTTAATCTTACCTTATATAACATATGGTATAGCTGTTTGGGGTCAAGCGGCAAAAAAATATTTGAATAAGATACTTATTCTCCAAAAACGAGCAATACGTTTAATGAATTTTAAAACAAACAAGGAACATGCTATCCCACTTTTTATTCATTCCAATATACTTCCTTTAAATATGCTTTACATTAAAACAATTTGCAATTTAATGTATGACGTCTCAAATAGCTCTTGTCCATCTTCAATCTCCGATTGTTTTATCCAATCAAAAGAAGTCCATACTTATAACACTAGACATTGTGTATCCAATAATTTTTATGTTGAATACTCAAAACTAACTACAACTATCACATCCTTTGTAAAATCAGGTGTTAAAATTTGGAATAGTATTCCCACTGATGTTCGAGAGTTGGGTAGAAAAAGTTTCAATTTGAAAATTCAGAAAAGTCTTTTAACCATATTTGAGATTGAGGACGATTATGCTGATGTGCCCACATTAATTAGATATATGAGTAAGCATGGAAAATAGTACATCCTTCGAAATTAATAGGAAATTAATAGGGAATTAATTCTTCTTTGTGAAAATGATGCTTTGTGCTGTCAGTATACTGCACCGCTTTATATTATAACCGAGCATATCTATACTTCTTATTTAATCTCATTCTACTATCCGCCCCGATTAGCTTTGCTATTAGCGGATAGTATTGTATATACAAACTGTTTATGTATTTATTAATAAAATTTGATTTGATTTTGATTTGATTTGATTTTTTGACATAGTCTGGCTCCCTGCGATTCAATGTGCAGCTCTTAACGTTTCAAACATATATCTCAATTTTAGAAAACCATTGAATCAAAGAACGAAAGTACGGAACGACGGATCTTAAAATTATCGCGAGACGCTGCGGAATTGAGGTCGAGGTTAAACGCCTTTCTGCAATCATTTGGTAGACGTTCATCGTGGCGAGATCACGTGACGTCATCATCCGATCACATGAGCATGACGTCACCACCCAACCACCTGACCATGACGTCATCACCTAGACACCACAAGACCACATACGCGATATTCTTGAAACAAAACAGTATCGAACAACCCGTTCATGTGAATATAGCCTTGCGCGAGACGGATAACGTATTAATTTATTAAACAAATTAGAAGCAAGAAGAAAGGCTATTATTACTGAAGATTTGGCTTTTAAAGTGACCAAAAGCTTGAAAGGTTCAAAGCTTGTATTGATGCTCGAGTTGGTTTGGTAAAATTGTCAGCGAAGCTCAATAGGACATATATAACCTTTTAATATTTGGAAGGTTGGGAAAACCCCCCGAGTTTAGTCAGTTTATAGGGTCGCGATTTTAGTTGACCGATTATAATAATAAAATATTTTCATCAATAGAATTTTTATCCATCCATGTGTGACTATGGATCGCGTTAGCAGTTAAATATATTATAGAGTTTATAATCAGAAAAGAAAGGTTTTGTAACGATTTGAAATTATCCAAGTTCAGAGCTTTATAGTACCTGCAAGAGCCAATTACACTCGAAATTACATACAAAGTTCTAGAATCAAACGAAATGAAATTATAACTAATCAATATAACCTACCATATAAGGGAAATATAAATATAAAATGTTTTTCTAATGTATATTATAGTATACGTAATTTAGGTTTAGTGAACTACATTCAATTCCCAGCTCAGAAACTATTGCTAGAAAGACGATGTTCTCTGGAATTACTTCAATAAATAGACGGTAATGTCCATTGGCATATTGCTGTTAACTAGTAGGCTATTGAACACTGGTATCGAGTTTCCGGCGCAAAGGCGATTGTGTAACTTGCAGTTTACTTGAATATAAGCACAAAATGTAGATGGTAAAAATATAGATTAGAGGAAAATTAAAGTAAATTCCCTAAAATAGAACACGACAAAATACCCTTGACCATTAGGGGTATTTTACTTTGTTGTGTGTACACTTTGTTGTGTACCCCCATCAGCTCGCAATTTCGGTAACTGTGTTAATTATACAGTATTGAAATTCTTTAGAGAGAGAGATCTGTGTTATAAATTATCACATTCACATTTCAAGGTTTGTTTTCTGTTTAAAGTTATTTGAAAAATTCGATTTTCTTAATATCTTTGTATACTATAGGTCTATAGAATCATACAGTACATCAGTTGGTTACTATATATATACTCAACTAAATTTATAAAACTAACTATTTATAATGATATTTTCTGTGTTGGTGTAATGTACTCAGGTGAATAAGATGCTTGTGATGTTACTCTGAGTGTATATCCACACCGGGTAATCATGATATAGCAAATCGTAGTATTAGAATTTATAAAATAACATGTATATAACGCGTGTTCTGATTGGTCGAAAGCCGTGTTTGGATCAGGCCATCCAAACACGGAAGACTATCGTGTCGTTGTTATTTTATAAAACAATTACTTTATGGTTTCCGTGTTTGGATGGAATGATCCAAACACTTGGGAATGTTGCTCGAGTTAAGAAAAGCGGGCAAAATCACTCGCCTTCGGCTTGTGATTTCGCTCGCTTTTCTTAACCCTCGCAACATTCCCGCGTGTTTGGATCAGGCCATCCAAACACGGAAACCATAAAGTAATTGTATAACACTGATATCGAAGGAACTAGACTCAGTTCCGAAATATCACATACTCCAACCGACCTGACCGCGTAGCTCAGTTGGCAGAGCATTGGGCTAGTATTCCAAAAGTCGTAGGTTCGATTCTCACCGTGGCCAGGAATATTTTTCAAGCCTGCCCGGTGTGGATATACACTCAGAGTAACATCACAAACATATTTTTACTGGGTTGCTATATATCAGTATAGTGGACTGTTCTTCTAGACGTCCATAAGAAACAAATCTTATTTGTTACTATAAATATACAGGAGCTATGAAACCACCTTTAAAGATGCTGTAAAGTCCGTTCTCATGCGCATCAGTTCTGCTCATAACAGATATAAACACCAGACCCCCAGATATAAACATTATATTTTTACACCTAAACACTTTCGAACTTTTTTGAATTGAAACGCCGAGTTTATATTTACAAGCATAGCGAACCGGAAAACTGATTAGATATTCATGCAGTTAGTACGTATATCATATTTTACAAATATGGCAGTTCAAAATGTAAAACAAAGGCAAAGCATGCATTTGTTTACATTTATACACAGATTACAGCATCTTTATACTGCGTGGACACCTTTATTATATCAGTTCTAAACTGTTATCTCTGCTACTCTATAGAGATTCAGTAAGGAACATCTCTATTTTAAAGATAAAAAGCATAGCCCAGTAAATAACTTTAAAACGAAAAATAATAAAAGTAAAAAATTTAATACCCACTGCATGACGTTTCGTTGTTTACAATACAACATCTTCGGAGCAATATCTAAATGAATTTATAGGGTATGGACTATGGTATATATATTAAATATTAACCTTAATTAGTAATTAAGGTTAATATTACATAACGAAAATAACTCAATAGATCTAATATTAGCATTAAGATTTAAGGACAGGGTAGCTTTCACAGATAAGAAGATCCCACACAGAAGTGCCTGATGATAGGATTTTGAATGCATGTGTTTGTGAGCGAGTATATACCAGAGTTAGCTATTACTAGTATTAGGCTAATTTTTTTACTTTTATTATTTTTGGTTTTAAAGTTATTGGCTGGGCTCTGATTTTATCTTTAAATTAAGATTTCTGCCTGCATGGTGTATCACTATTGCCACAGTTTTAAAGAAACATCTCTATTGGTTCAATAAGAGATGAACCAGAGGAAATCCTTATTGTGGATCAAAGTGTTATCAGTTCTAAATTCGGTTCTCCCAGAGGTCCTGCAGTAAGGTCTGTTGGACCATCCTTCATTGGTCGACCAGTGTAATCATACAGGAGGAAATCTATAAACTAAACTAACTTTATAATGCAAGAAATGTCCTGTATATAGGAGTCATCCGTCATTACACTAAATACTAATAGAGTAAACTAAACCAAAATATCTTTATTTGACACTGGATAGCTCTATCAATAATTCAATAAACTGTTCGTCTATAGGAAGGGTCATCTCTTAAAGTGGTACTACACTGTGAACTTTAATCAATTTAACTTTAACCAACTTAATGTCAGTTTTTTTATTTTCTTTGATAAATAAAAGGGGTATTTTACTTTGTTATGTACGCAGTTGTCTGCACGCAAAAACAATTTCAATTCCTACAGACATTATACGTCTGTACCCCCCATTACCGGCATCAGCTCGCAATTTCGGTAACTGTCAATTATATATACAGTGTTATTTAAATTCTTTATAGAGAGAGATTTGTGTTCTGATATTTGACGGAAATGAGTGCATAGCCATGGGTTTAAAAATATCAATTAAAAGTACGAATTATCACATTCGCACTTCAAGGTTTGTTTTCTGTTTACAGTTAGAATCATTCAGTACATCAGCTGGTTACTATATACTCAACAAAATGTTTGTGGAGACAACTGAACACGCTTATTTTGTACCTAAGACTATTTGCATTTTTCCAACAATGTTTATAGGTTGGTTTGACAAAGCTCTATAAGAACTACAAATTCTTGATGTACCTAAAAGTTAATTATCCTGTATTCGTGGACAAACTTACTGCATGAGTGCATGTATCACAAAAGACAGGACGTCTACGAAATTATCGTATTACGCCCATTTTAATGTATCGAATTTTCGAGCTATTTCAACCTGCACTTGGCTCTTTTGGGCGTTTCAGTCGGGAAGGTTTTAATACAAAAGTTTTCTTTCTCTGCATGTCTCATGCATGATGTGATATGATATTTTCTGTGTTGGTGTAAAACCAACAGAGAAAATATTGTTGGTGATATTTTCTGTGTTCCAAAGGTCGTAGGTTCGTTTCCCACCGTGGCCAGGCATATTTTTCAAGCGTGCCCGGTGTGGATATACATTCAGAGTAACATCACAAGCGTTATATGATATGGTTATAATATACAATTACTTTATGGTTTCCGTGTTTGGATGGCCTGATCCAAACACGCGGGAATGTTGCGAGAGTTCGAGCAACATTCCCAAGTGTTTGGATCAGGCCATCCAAACACGGAAACCATAAAGTAATTGTTTTATAAAATAACAACTTCCCGTATTATAATTTTACTTTAAGAAACTTTCACTTTAAATTTCCGTGTTTGGATGGTCTGATCCAAACACAGGTTTCGACCAATCAGAGCACGCGTTATGTACATGTTATTTTATAACAAAACATCTTAAATTTTATAAACATCACCATTAACTATGACTAAACTCACTATGTCTATAAAAAGTGAAAACTCAAGCTACGCAAAATGAAGATGGAACACTCTCGATCTTGAACAGGAATAAACAATAATTAAATTCTTTACAGTAATTTCCGGTTCAAAAGCGTGCGGTAATTGACTTTACCTCGATTCCGCAATCCGAGCTGAAACAACAAATTCTTCCATCTCTTTTGGGCCACCCGCACCTTCGGTACGCATAAAAGCGCGCGCGCAAACAGGGAAGCTAAGCAGAGGGAATCGAATCAGCCATCAAGATGAAGTGTTGGACAATCCTAGCCTTGCTGGTCGCAATCTGTGCTGTGTTCCTTGGTGTTGGACACACTGAAGAAACTACAGATGATCTCAATGAAGCAGCCTTGGAAGATGCTTATAGTGACACTGAAAATGATGTGCAATTGTAAGTCTATGCTTTGTATTTTCCTTCTTTTTATTAGATATTTTCATTCTAATACAACTCAAGAAATTATAGACTAACCCAGTATAAATAAAATTAGTTTAATTTAGGTTTCCTCGTATAATAACACCTGACAAATAAGGGATATGGCTCTTATACTGGACCTCTAAGGAGAATAGTTTAGAAATGATAGAGTTATCAAGTATTAATAAGAAGTTAGTTTAGTTTTGTTGAAAGAAAATCTTTTATGATTATTTTAACAATCCAAGTATATTATTTGCAGGGCAGATTCATCTGTGAATCGAGAAAATGATTATGCTCATGACGAAAATAATGATGATGATGATGGTGATGATGATGATGATGACGAAACGTAAGTCAAAATATTTACGAAAAACGTTATTTATTACTGTTCTGGAGTGATCTAATTTTCGTATGACATTCACTTGGTACGATATGCCGCTCAGGATAATGTCCTCTATTTTGTCGTATAATCGCAATTTCAAGTGTTAAGTGGTTCCTGAAACGGTTACATTCGATGTTGTAACGGTAAACTACAACATACCATAACAATATTTATCTGCAATACTGTAAATTTATACTTATTTTGTAAATACTTCTTGAAAATGGTAAATGCCAATAACATATCTTCTCACATTTCAGAGAGAACGCCGTTGATAGTGTAAAGGAGACACCATCAAATGACGACGATAAAGCAGAAATATCCAAACGTACACCATGGGGGCGTCGACGTCGTTACTGGCCTCGTCGACGTCGTGTGTGGCCTCGTCGACGTCGTGTGTGGCCTCGTCGACGTCGTGTGTGGCCTCGTCGACGTCGTACCTTGGGTAAATAGACTTGGAGACGAAGGTATGTGCGAAATATTGATGATTTAACTTTTCGCCTCTCCGCTAATGTGTGCACGAGCTGATAGACGAGGAAATATGGACAGCTCTATCGGTTTCAAACTACAGGTCCAGTAAGGGTCATTGGTCCAGTGTTACAACAGGAGGAAACGCGAAAACACGGATACAACCTGAGGTGTTTGCCCTCTGCATGTGTTTGCCTAGAGACTCAAACTAGAAACAAATATTTTTCTCATATGAATGCATACTGCAGGACCTCGATCGCAGAGGTGAAAGCACATCTGCATGCTGACCAGAGCCGTACGCAGAATCATTTCACGAGGGGGGCAGTTATACCTATATGCTGAAATAAGCACCCAAATGTCAATGCATTCAAAGCCATATCAGTTAGATAAATACTTATGGCTACCCCATACAAAACCATACATTCTGATTCTCAAAATTGTAAGCGCCAATTGGCTTAATAAGTAATAATAACACTATAAAAATCTTAATATTTCTCGGGGCGGGGGGGGGTGTTTCCTTTGCTGCCCACCCCTTTTCCCCCACCCCTTTTCCCCCACTGTCACACTGCACCACCAACACCTCAAAACATTCTTATTTGATTCGTTAGAAAATTATTTCACATTAGACAAATTTACTTTGCATCTTTATTACTATTCAAATGCGAGCATGGCCCACATTCTATTCCGCAGACACTTTCTATATATAACATACTCATAAGGGATGAAAAATGAAAGAAATGCGATTAAAAAATGTCGGAAGCGTGCTCACAATAGAGACGTTCAGTTTTGACTTCCACTACCGCTATCGCTACGATTCAGGGACCACTAACCAATCAGATGCGTTGGATATATCAGATTAACCAATCAGATGCGTTTGATATATCCGATTAACCAATCAGATGCGTACTAAGCCAGTGAGAGGTAGTGGTCAATGGACCTATTCCCTAATAAACAAAATTTTGATCTAGACAAGTCTAGACAAAAATTTCATCACAGCTTGAAAGAGCATCACAAAATTAGTAATATTCCGAATTTTTGTTGCGAAATTTTGTAAAATGCGGATAATATAGCCTTGCGAAGTTTGCCATTTTTCAGTCATTTTGTATTACGCATGGGAAATTGATACCGCTTTCTGAAAAAAGGTATCAATTTCCCGTGCGTAATACAAAATGACTGAAAAACGGCAAACTTCGCAGGGCTATATTATCCGCATTTTACAATATTTCGCAACGAAACTCCGGAATATTACTAATTTTGTGACGCTCTTTCAAGCTGTGGTAAAATTTTTGTCTAGACTTGTCTCCATTCAAGTCAAATCTGAACTTCTCTAATTTCCTTGCGAGTACTTTTTAGCTAACATGATTTTACGTCAGAAATTACGTCAAAAATTGTTTCTTATTAACCTGGCCTTAAGTTAATGATGTGTATTTTCTTCTAATTCCACAGATTATCCGCGTGAGTTAAACGACGAAATCGTTATTACAGCGGAAGAAGCCGACAAATTAATGAAACAAGGATGAAGTGAAAACGAAAGCCCATGAAATGATTTTGAATTACATTGCACGAATAGTCGTAGATCATCAATAACGTAATCTTTTAACTTTCTTATCACATTTAAAATTAGTGTAACTTTGGCACAAGCGTACGCTTAACCATAAATGTTTATATGTTTAGCCTTGTAATGTTGAGTAAGGTTTTATTTCATAAATAAAATGCACGTTAAACTTTCAAACTAGTTATCATAGTTTTGCAGTATAAACGATCTCAGTGATCAGAATGCATTGTCTTTTCATCACTTTTCACC